TAATTACCTTCTCCTGTCTTTAACCTTTTTGCAATTTTTTTCTGAAAGACTGTATCTTTCCTGGTTGCTTTGGCAATAAGCCTCAAAAAGGAAAACCCATTTTAGGTTTCTGTCTATAAAATCTGAGTATTCCTGAGACGTACCTGGTACGTGCCAGTTCATGTTTCCATAGACCTATCATTTTGTCACAAAATAAATTACTTACTAGTGATAGAGTGCACTTTTGAAAAGTTTGATCAGTTTAGCTTTACTTATCTTTTTATATCACAGAGCAGTTGTTTTTATTTTTTTGAATAGTGAATATTAAAAATTCTCCTTCAATTCTCTTGTTCAGATATGTAGAAATTGTCACTTCTACACTACATTATGTATCATCAGAATACTTTGTATTATTTTAATGCTACTCTTAACAGTTGAAACAGCATTTATTGTTAGTCATCTTTTAATACTGGATTAAAAACCTACAGGTGGATAAGGTTTGACTTAAGGCCAAAGTAGGTGTAGACATGGGGAATATCCAAATCTCATACTATTTTCAGCCATCGTACTAAATAGCTAAATAATGACTATATTTTGCTTGTAAGATAGCCTATCACTTTAATCAAAAGCCAAAATAATTTAAAAACGAAATATAGTGTAACTGTAATACAAGTATGATATTTGGTAGATAGATATTTTTTAAGCACTTCGAGACTTATAAATAAAATTCCTTAATCATTTAAAAAATATTGAATAAAAATATTTCAGGACAGTCAGATATTTCAAAGAGTAGACTTCCGGGGTTTTTCAGAAGAGGTCCTCAGGCCTGTGAGGTAGGGCTTTGATGAGGGAACAGATGGTTCTTGGGATTTAGTCTGTTGGAGGTTGCTGCTAACTGCAGCTTTTGGTTTTAAGCCTTGGCACTGGCCCTTTAAAATGGAACTAATTGGATGGACAGGGTCCTGATTACCTGCTGATGTATGGTGGACAGTTGTACACACACACACACACACACACACACACACACAGAACATTTTCCTACTTTTCTATTGATTTTCCTCCCTAACCTTTTGTCTTGTGTGAAGTTGGAGGCCGTAGCCTCTCTGCTTAGGAAATAAGCAAGACGGCATTTTGGAGATGCTATTTTATTTCTGTGAGTTCCTGTCAGATTTTTAATTGGGAAATGTGTCTACCACTTACTGCTAGGTGATTTGCTTTCCAATTAAGTGTTGTCTCCCTTTTCTTTATAAGTTGGCTTGTAATAGCCAGTTTAATTGGGAAGACAAACTTTGGTTGTGACTTACGGAGACCTTATTGAACCCTTGGAGCAGAGTTTTTGAAGACACACTCTGGTTACAGATGTCAAGGAGGTCTGAAGG